CTAAACAGGTACGTAGCCAGGAATTCGGAGGCAGCTGATTTTTTGCTGCCCCCACCAGTAGGCTCCTCCCAGGAAGTCCAAGAAAATATATTTTGATAACTGGGAGCTCTTAAGTGCTGAGTACACCCAGTGGTTTTATCATAGATTCAGTCACTGTGCTCTAAAGAGGGTTGTAGTTATTCAGTGCAGGAAAATGCTGAGGTTCTCTATTTTTTGCCATTTCTCTCTACTAGGAAGTGTCCCCTCAAAAAAGAAGTTTGGATAGAATTTCTGGGTCCTGGAAAGATATATTGTTGAAAATGAGAAGTCCTTGAGGCTCTCTGAGCTTGGTTATTTTCTTGCAGAATGCAGATGTTTCATTACTCAAACTAACACCATCAGTGTTGCATGAGTACAGCATGAGCACTGATGATGTTACCTAGTTTAGGTAATGAAATGTCTGGGAAAAAAACCACCAAGCTCAGCAAGTACCAAGGACCTCTCATTTCAACCCTGAGCTACAAATATTCTCCTTTATATGTATTCTTGAAAATGCTAAATGTTTCATTCCTTCCACCCTTATGTTTTGGTTCACATCTACCTTCCTCTGTTTTGTCCAAGTATACTTTTTTATGCTTCTGGTATCATAGAAAGGATATTCTATGTTTTCATTCCTCAACACCATGATCCGGTGGATGTTCTGAAAATTGAATGTTTTGGATTCAGTCTCCCAAAAGGGCTTCAAAAGTAGCATTCACCTACATACTATTCTTTATAGCATTGTATGTTTGCCACCAGGTAGCATTCTAAAATAGAGCTTTGTCACTTCCAAATTATGTATTAAAACACATCATCATATGTCAAACACTTTCTCTATTAGTCACACTAGTAACTTGGCAATTGTGTTTGTTGACCTCCAAATATATCGCAAATGTGACTGTATCTGATATACCTTCCAGTTTTACCATGGTCTCTCTTTTTTTACCTGTCAGAATTTCACTCAAAAAAATGCCCTCAATCCGAGAAACACTGCAAGGGCTGGGCATTAAAGTGGCAGACGTCCTTCCTTCTTTGAAGCACCATATCTACTACCTTGGTGAAGAGCTTCATAACAAAACAGCACCTACTATTCTAACAAACTTCTTGGATGTAAGTGTGTCCTATGTTCTTAAAGAAAGCAGTCAGCAAATAAAAACTACTCCAACATTTTATACAGATATTGATGGAATGAATTATGATTTTTCCCTTCTAACAAAAATGTTATTCTGCTCTTTGTTATGATGTGCCTTTCAGTTGCAGTATTATGGTGAAATAAGTATTGGAACACCATCCCAGATCTTCAAGGTTGTCTTTGACACAGGATCAGCTAATTTTTGGGTGCCATCCCATCAATGCCCCCCATTGTACAGTGCCTGTGGTAAGTTTTGGCAACATGTAACAACCGCATATGAAGATTTCTACCCTGACATGTTTTCCCATTATGCATGTGGAACAATGTTATACAGCTGGTATTTTTATTCCTGTCAAAGTACACTGATATGTAAAATAGATTTTTCTTATCATTTACATATAAGATACTTGGGCAATTACCAGCTTGCAGCCATGAGTGACAGTGTATGATAAATTAATGATAGATTATGAATAAGTATCCTGATATTTTAATGTATTAATAATAGAAAAATAATTTAAAAGATAGTACTGCATATTACATATGATTTTGGATGTTAATATTAATATAGAAAAAATGAGTACTAAATCATTAACATAATTAAATTCACAATATATAGTACTTTGATGCTTGATGTCTCCTCCTGTTTTGTCCACAACTATAACCCGGTTAGGAGGTTGGCTGAGAGACAGATTGGCTCAATCTGACTTTCAGGTTCAAAACAGGACTACCACCTCCCTGCCCCTTAACCACTACACTTAATTATATTGCAAACAATATAGTATGTTAGACAACTCAGAGCACTGAATTTGAAGAAAGAATATTACACTTAGCTTGAATAAAATAATCCCTAAGAAATCAAGTCAGCTGGCCATTGATTAATCTACCCAGCTAGTTAAAAGGGGAGACATTTTGTCTTCCCCTCCTTTCCCATTGGTTTGTTCATCTTTGTTTTCAATATACTTCCATGGGAAATAAAACTTGGTTTTGAAGATCTGTCTAGAGCAGGGGTGTCAAACTCAATTTCCCTGAGGGCTGTATCAGTGTTGTGTTTGACAGGAGATGGGGGTGGCCAGCTATAAGTCACTCATGTCAGGGGTACCTGTGGTGGCCCGAGAGCTCTGCCAGTGAAAATGGGCTGTTTCCAGGGTGGCCCTGTGGGTCAGATCTCAGCACCCCGTGGTACTGGATCTGGCCCCCGGGCCTTGCGTTTGACACCCCTGGTCTAGAGAATTGCTCTCCTCAGTACAGCAAAGCAATCACTGTGGAGCTTCTGCGATGGGTCAAGGGAAGTTTGGTTCCCATGGAAATACCTTGTGTGGTTTTTTTTTTTTTAGAGTTTTATTGAACACTTATAGGCCGCCCTTTTCCCTGAGGGGACTCAGGACGGCTTTCAATAATGAGGGAGGGGAGTGCAAGACAAGACATAAAAGAAAATGTGAATAAAAAAAATAATTAACAATAAAAGCACAACATTCACTCAGCATTCGGGCGGGGAGAGAGTAAAGTGTGAAGAGTGAGACTCTATTTCTCCATCACTGGGGCTTTTCCATACAGCTCCAATAATGCATTTCCTTCTGTCCTTGAAAATACATTTTCAGAAAACCAATGTCTCCAGGGCCTACTTTTAGTATATCTCAGAAGAGGCTAGTAAGTACAGCTACAGTTAGCTTCTGCTGCTGCTATTGAAATCCATACCAAGCCTTTCCAGGAAACCACTGAACTTTTTTCAGGTGTGTTAGAGAAAACAATCCTTTTTAGTTTCACATTGTGAATGATGTTAAAAACTTACAGCTCTCCTGCCCCATTATAAACTAGAGCAGCAACTCCTCAAACTCCTAACCCTCTGCCCCTTTTTTCCTATTCACTAATTTCCCTTCTCTTACTTCTAATTACCCCTTTCTGCAAGATTTGTCCTCCTTACAACGGTGGAGTTAACAATTTGTAATGAAACCCAGCAATGTTGGTCAGTGATTTAGCCTGGGCGCCGCAAGCAAGCACAGATTCCTTGATGCTCAGGGTTCCCAATTTGCAGCCTCCATGCCTGCACTGTTTCTGCCTGCATTACATTCTAATTGCTTACAATATTTGATCTATGGCTGCAGGTGTGGTGAGCAGGAGAATCTTCCCATTACTGGTGACTTGACACAGAAACTCAGGACGGGACTGGTTAAGCTTAGTTCTGGTCTAGAAATATAAGCAAAATTCTGGATAGCCCCCCAAAAGTTGGAGAGGTCTTCCATGAAGTCATAGAATTTCATAGAATAACAGAGTTGGAAGGGACCTTGGAGATCTTCTAGTCCAACCAACTGCTTGAGGGGGGATTCTATATTATTTCAGACAAATGGCTGTCCAGTCTCTTATTGAAAGCCTCCAGTAATGGAGCACCCACATCTTCTGAAGGCAAGCCATTCCATCGTTGATTGCTCTCACTTTTGGAAATTTGTCCTTAGTCGTAGGTTCCTTCTCTCCTTGGTTAGTTTCTATTCATTGTTTCTTGGCTTGCTTCTGGTGCTTTGATAAATAGTTTGACCCACCTTGTCTGTACTGCTATCATGTCTCCCCTAGTCCTTTTGTCAATATGTCCAAAGCAAAATAAGTTGTAAAGAAAGTTCTCAGGCAGCCAAAGCAGAAATGGCCGTAAAGACAAAGAGAGCTGCAGCTGGAATGGATTAGATAGGTTCACAGTGGGCCAGTTGGAACCCAGCCAGTCACCATTCCTACAAAGACAACACTTTCATGACATGTGAGAGAATTTCCTTGTTTTCCCATGGAAAACCTCACTTTTCTACCACACTGTCTTGATGCACCTTCACTCTGCCTCAGCACTAGAATAGAATAGAATGGAATAGAATAGAATAGAATAGAGTAGAGTAGAGTAGAGTAGAGTAGAATTCTTTATTGGCCAAGTGTAATTGGAGACACAAGGAATTTGTCTTTGGTGCACATGCTCTTAGTGTACATAAAAAGACAGGATACATTCATCAAGAATCATAAGGTACAACACTTAATGATAGTCATAGGGTACAAATAAGCAATCAGGAAATAATCTATATCAATATAAATCATAAGGATACAAGCAACAAAGTTACAATCATGCAGTCATAAATGGGAGGAGATGGGTGATAGGAACAATGAGAAGACTAATAGTAATAGTAATGCAGCCTTAGTGAATAGTGTTTGACAGTGGGGAGGGAATTATTTGTTTAGCAGAATGATGGTGTTCGGGAAAAAACTGTCCTGTTGTCTTGGTGTGCAGTGCTCTACAGCATCATTTTGCCTGGAGATTTATTGTTATGTGTTTATACCTGACTAGTATTTAAATACTGTACAGTATGCCTTTCTGAAATCTGTATGATTCTTATTTCTTGAATTTACCAGCTATATGAGGTTGACATTTAAGGGACTTGTTCTTGATGATACTTGAACAGATTTAAACCAATTTATGTTCTATATATTAATATTCTTTCTTTCTTTCAGTCTCACACAATCGTTATGATTCCTCTGAATCAAGTACATACAAGCCAAATGGAACCGAAATTGTTTTATCATATGGCCGAGGATATATTAAGGGTTTCCTTAGCCAGGACATTGTCAGAGTAAGTGCTAATAGGATGATAAGCATTTGTGCTTCTGAAGGAAGGAAATGGAGGAAGTGCTTTCCTGCTGTCTGGCAAATGCCAGGTTATTCACAGGCTTTGAAAACTGAACCAGAGGGCTCCCAACAAGGAGAATCTCAATTGTTTGTATTATGGCACTTTAACCACATTCATCCCATTTGCACTGTCCAAGATTTGAAGGATACCAGACTTACCTTTTTCATCACTGAAATCACTGGAAGTTTTATATTAATTATTTTTTTTAAAGGAACACACAGGTTGAATACAGGCAAGTGCAATATCTAAAGAGATATATGTTATATGTCTTAGAATATCCAGTTAGTTGTAGCCTCAGGCTGTAATAGAGCTGGGCCTCAAGCCATAGTAATGGAAAAGGGAGAAAATCATATAAGCAGCAATCCATTTCCATGTACTCACCTAATGCCAAGTGAACATGTATAAAAATTCAGTTTTAATAAAACATGACCCTAAAGGACAACATGACAAGCCTGTTAGTCACTTGAACAATTACTGGGATTGAAGCAAAAATGACTTAACTATACATAAAAGTATACGTGGGTGTGTATGAGTGAGGTGGGGGGAACAAAGAAGGAAGAATTAAAGAATCAAGTGTTGTTTTTATTCCCTTTGAAGAGTGCATTCAACTTGTTGTTCCACAATTCCTTTGTGTGTGCTTTTCTCTAGGTTGCCGATATTCCTGTCATCCAACTCTTTGCAGAAGCTAGAACACTACCTAGCGATCCTTTCATGTATGCTCGGTTTGATGGAGTGCTTGGTATGGGCTACCCCAGCCAGGCCATTGATGGGGTTATCCCAGTTTTTGATAAGATAATATCTGAAAAGATCTTGTCAGAAAAGGTCTTCTCTGTCTACTATAGCAGGTAGGTTTTGTTTAGGAATATAAAACGTATACATTAAATTATTGGACCAATTCATAATTTGATTGTGCTTTGGATTCACTGTCAGAAAATGATTATTATTTTTTTTTTCAGAAAAAGGGGTGTTTCCCCCTTAACTTGTTTCAAAGTTAACTAATATTTGATTCTAGAATATTGGCTAATCACCCGTGTCTGAAGCTTCTTTTAGAATTTGGATGGGGACTCACAGAGGTCTTGGCTATTGTCAGAGAATATGACTGATGTGCAATATGGAACTTTTTCAGGATTAGAGTTTAGCATAGGAGCAAGTGAAGCAGAAATAACACTGATAATATTGGATATTTTGAAGTGTTTCCCCTAACTTGCCATAAAGATTCCGGTAAACATTTCACTATGTAGAAAATAGATCCAAGCAAGGAAAAGTCTAATACTGTCTATCAAGGGGAAATTTAAATCTCAAATCATGACTGGTGGAGTATTTTGCAGCAGGCATCATCTCAGTACTTGGTTCCTACCCCCATCCCCACAAATCTTTCTTTTGTATCTTTTGAAATTGTGAATCACAGGTAATTTCAATAAATTCTATCTAATTGGCAATATGACTTTTGCTCTAAGCTTGAGTATTTTTGCTGGAAATACTGATTGCCTTATAAATGCTGCCTTAAAAGCAAAATGGCTCTCCTTCATAGGTTTTTAACAACAAAACTTGCTAAACCTTGTTGTGGGCAAAAGTGAGCAAGAATAAAACTACTGTTTTGTGATTTTCCCCCCCCCCCCTTTGGCCTAGACACTCAGAGTTGAACACTGGAGGAGAGATTATCCTGGGTGGCAGTGATCCCTCTTACTACATTGGAGACTTCCATTATGTCGACATTAGCAGAGAAGGCTACTGGCATGTTGATCTTAAGGGGTAGGTTCTGTGTAATGCCAGACTTATAAAATCAAGAACCCCAAAGGGGAAGTCATTTCAGTCAACTAAAGATATGAAACATTAATTGCATTTTGGAAATCAGCTTTTCCCAAGATGACCATCTTTTATTAGATGCTAACAATAAATTCCTCTTACAAACTTCAGGTAGTCCTCGACTTACAACAGTTCACTTAATGACCATTCAAAGTTACAATGGCACTGAAAAAGTGACTTATGACCATTTTTCACACTTACGACCATTGCAGCATTCCCATGGTCACGTGATTTACATTTGGATACTTGACAGCTGACTCACATTCATGACGACTGCAGTGTCCCAGGGTCTGTGATTCCCTTTTGCAACCTTCTGACAGGCAAAGTCAATGGGGAAACCAGATTCACTTAACAACTATGTTAGTAATGTAACAACTGCAATAATTAACTTAACAAATGGGGCAAGAAAAGTGGGGTAAAACTGAACAAACTTCTGATTTAGCAACATAGATGTTGGGCTCATTTGTGGTCGTACTTTGAGGACTACCTGTATTGTGATATGGTATTCAGAGGAGTTCAAGACCTTGAATGCCAATGTTGTTTTTTTCTTCATTTTGACATGAATGAGACTTATTCTTCAAAAGTACAGGAATATCTGAATGCTCTTTTGCTTTCTCTGCAGTGTTTCTGTAGAAAATGATGTAGTGCTTTGTCATGAAGGATGCACAGCAGCTATAGACACTGGCACTTCCTTTATCAGTGGGCCAGCCAGTGCAGTATCTGTTCTGATGAAAACCATAGGCGCTACTTTGGTAGAAGAAGAAAAGGTAAAAGACATCTGAGCATAACTTTTCTAATCATGGGAAAACATGAATCTAAAAAACAGCAATGAGCTATGAAACACATTTGATTTCCAGTCCCTTTCACGTAATGTCCATGTAATGTTTAAATTTTCAAGTGTCCAATTTTAGCACATTTCCCTTTTTGAAAAAAGAAAAAAAACTAATTCAGTTTACTCAAAAGTGTGAAGACTAAGTAGTTTAAACTGCAAGGTTGTTTAAGAGAAATCAAGATTAAATCTGGATAAGGAGGAGAGATTCCCATTGGAATTAGAATAATTACTGTTAGGCGGTTCCCCATCCTGATATCTTCTCTATAGTGATGTATCATCAGCTGGTTAAAGCAGATGTAAGACTGTTTCCTATTACCTGTGACTTATAACATAGGAATTAAAAGCCTTTCTATACCTCTGTTTCCTTTATCCTCTCACAGTATGTCGTTGAATGTAAAAACATTCATTTGCTGCCTGACATTTCCTTCCATCTTGGAGATATGACCTACTCACTCAGCAGTTCTACCTATGTTCTCAAGGTAAGATCTGGAGCCATGATTTGCAATAAAATGAACAAATATGGGCGAGCAATAAGGTTTAGATAAAACTTGGAAAATCAAAGGTCTGAGAAAATAAATGTGGGAGAGACTTTTGAGAGCTGGTGATTAAATCAAAAGTCTGACAGTGAGTAAATCAGGAAACAGTTCGTGACGGTACATTATTAGACTCCTGAATGTGAAGCAACATCATAACTAAGTAGTACGATGGACTTGCAGGGCTGGCATAATGTGTAACATGTTCACACTGGTGTAATGGGACTGGTGTTTGTTAATATGATTTATTGGGTTAGGGATTTTTTTTTTCTTTTTTCTTTTCACTATGAGCTGTATTGTGTTGCGGGGGGTGCACTAAGGGAGCTCAACCAATCTCATCGTTCGTATGTTGTGCATTGACAATAAAGAAGCATTATTATTATTATAATACAATTGTATCACAGCGGCCAGTTATTTCGCCGGATTTGGCATTGGTTACTAGTCGGGCCCCACCCAGGGGCCTAGGACGTCGTAACATATTTTTGTAATATGCGTGCAGATCCAAGCAGTGCAGCTTTTTGCATTTGACTGATGGTGATTTTGTCAATTTTTAACTGTTTTAAATGTAATTATTATTATACAATTGTATCACAGCGGCCAGTTGTTTCGCCGGATTTGGCATTGGTTACTAGTCGGGCCCCATACAGGGGCCTAGGACGTCATAACCTATTTTTGTAATATGCGTGCAGATCCAAGCAGTGCAGCTTTTTGCATTTGACTGATGGTGATTTTGTCAATTTTTAACTGTTTTAACTGTAATTTAAAATGTAATTCCAGTGCTTTTGGAATAGCACCCAGTGTGCCAATTACCACTGGAATTATCACTGCTGATTTGTGCCATAGTTATTGAATTTTGATTATTAAGTCCTGGTATTTTGCGATTTTTTTCATATTCCTTCTCGGTGACCCTGCTATTATTATTATTATTGTTGTTGTTGTTGTTGTTGTTGTTGT